GTGGCAGTCTCATTTGGAGAATAAGAGAAGAGAGAGAGTGTGTAGGGTGTGTGTGTGTGTGTGTGTATTTTTTAATATTTTAATAAGGTCTAATAACAAAAAACATCCATACATTTGACACTTCATTATAAAAAACATCCCTATGTTACAATTCTACGTTTTCATCTCTATTTTCACGTTTTATTGCGAAAAACGTCATTTTCAACAATTTGAAAACGTATGGATGTTTTTCACATTATAGGCCAAATGTAGAGACGTTTTGTGCTATTAGGCCTTTGAATAATTATTTATACTCTCTTGCACTTTTTAAAAGATTTAGGAATAAGATTGTAATTTATTCCTTATTTTTCTTTTCTTTTCTTTTTTTGGTTTTATTTAAATGGGGGGTGGTATTTTGATCATTTTACATTAAAAAATGGTGAAAATGATGTTTTCTGCAATAAAACATTGAAATAAAGGCAAAACTATCAAAAAATAAAAAGTATGGACGTTTTACACAATACATTGAAAGGTAGGAACATTTTGTGGTAATTACCCTTTTCAAATATTTTAGATATCTTACTATTCCCACTTTTAAAATTAAAAAAGTTACATGTGGTTTTGTTTGAGTCCATTTTTTGGGAGTTTAGATTTTAAGCATATAATTAAAAAGTAAAGAAAGATTTTGAATTATGTGTAAAATTATTTTATTGAAAAAATATATAATTAAAAATGAATTTTTAAAGATAGGGTTCAACTGGGCTACAAAAGTAAATTTTGCCTTGCTGTAAAAATAAGCAACTTACTGTAATTTTGATCAATAAAAAAATAATGTATATTAAACTTAGGCGACGATTGCCTCAGCTGGCCCACCCATCAATGGTTCATTGTGGATGCTTACACATAATAGATGACGATTCAATTCAAGGGCATAATGCGAGCCACACGAGTCAAGTCAAACCGACAATTAACTTGTGCCCATTGCCAACGCTTACCCTTCTCTATTGCCATAGTTGCACTCTACCTTTGTACCTGATTTCCTAGTGAAGAATCCAAGTCTCAAAGCAAAGGCAGAGAGCTCTTGACTCCGAATTCATGAAAGGTACTAATTCCTTTTTTTTTCTCACCTGAACCCCTAATTTTTTTCTCTCAAGTCAATTTTCAAAAAACCTTCATTTTTTTTTATTCACTTCTTTTGATTATCTTATTCTAGCTCCTGTTTGGCAAATGTCAAAGAATATCTAACGACCCTTCCCATACTATGGTTATTGGACTCAAAGATGTCTCTTCGCAAGGCACCAAAGGCCCTATTAGCCTCAAAACATTCCATTCTCTGCCTTGACTTGACATCCAGATACTCGCTACACCCAACAAGGAAAGAAAACCTCACTAGTGTGCGCCACTAAATAATCCAAACGAGAGTTTTTAAAGCAATATCTAAAAATATTTTCATGATATAAGAAAATAATTGTAAATTATTTTTGCAATTGTATGGCAGTATGTTATCTAGAAAAAATATGCTTGAATAAGAAATATACAAATTATTTTACTTGTTTTCTTTGATAGTATTGATACGATTGAATTGAATGTGAAGATTATACTTCTAAATTTTGTGTAATTCAATATTGTAAAATTGAAAAAAAAAACTCTCTGTGTAGTGCGGAGAGAATTGAACCAAGTGCAAAGTAAAAATAAAAAAAATGTGCGGAAAGAAAGTACGGAGAGTTGGCAAACTCTTCGCACAGTGCGAAGTAAAAAAAAAAATTTCGCACAGTGCGAATAGATGACAAACTAACTCTTGTGCGAAGAGAGTTTGCACAGTGCGGAGAGTTGGTCCGCACCATGACAAAATTCTCCGCACAGTGCGTAGAGAGGTGAACACATGCGGGGTAAAAAAAAGTGCTGAGAGAACAAAAATCTCCGCACAATGTGGAGAAAGTTGAACCATGTGTGGAGAGTTGGCAAACTTTCCGCACAATGCGGAGAGATGACATACCAGCTCTCCACACAATACAGACAAAATAAACTCTCCGCACAGTGCGAAAAAGTTGTTTTCAAATTCCTTAATTACAAGTCAAATTTCAAGATTGTAAATTTTTCTCATATACAACGAAACAGAGTCGAAAAACATGGCTCAAAATCAGTTATGTCTTCTTTAAATTCCAGTCACAGCTCAATTTCTGAACATGCAAATCATATTTACAATATTGGAAATGAACTTTCTCATAATTCATACAATGAAACAATATGTGAGTTGTGCAAAGAAGATGATATTGATAGTACCATGGCATTGCTTTCACAAATGGAAGCTCTAGGGTACCACCAAAATTTAATATTTTACACTTACTTGATAACAACTCTTGGACATTAAAAACGGATACAATTTTCAATGAAATTATACTTTCGGGTTGTAGGCCAGGAATTAAGTTGTTCAATACATTGCTCAAAAATTGTTTGGAAAAATGCCTATTTGAACTTACAGAGAAAGTCCTTAAAGTTTTTGTTTTTCTCTTCACACTGTGCGGAGAGATAGTTTGTCATCTCTCTGTACTTTACAGAATCTTTTTTTATCTCATGGAGTTTATATATACTAAAATTATTATTATTTTTTTATGTTGTTGGCATGATGCGTGTGTGAAAAAATATTTGTTAATCACCATAAACAAAATTCTTCACAAACTTTAAAAAATAAAAATATATAATAAATTTTCTTATTACGATAATAAAATTACAATAATTTTTTTTTACAAATAACATAAAAAATCATTTTTATCTTCAACAAAAAAAATATTTAAAAATTAGCAATTTCATAACCACTTTTTATTTTTTAATTCTAGAAAATATAATTATAAAAAAGAAAACAATATTGAATTACAACATTTAATACTTAAGAAGTTCAATATTAAATAAATTTTATACATTTATAACAAATTATAAATTCATATATGCAATTTATCGTATTTGCAGGCAGCTTACCGTATATACTACCTACCGTATTTGCAACCTACCGTATTTGCATCTTACCATATTTGCAGTCTACTTACCGTATTTGCAGCTTACATTATATGCTACCTACTGTATTTGTAATTTACCGTATATGTTGCCTATTGTCTTTGCAGCTTACTATATTTTTATATACCTATTTTTGCACTTACAAATACCGAGAATGCAGAACACCGTACATTTACATACCAAACCGAATTTCAAAAAAAATTCCAGAGTTTTATTTTTTCAATATAAGCATAAAATAAATATTAAATATATACGAAGCACAAAATATAAATACATATGAATATGATGCTCAATCTTCAATTTTCCAATATTGAATTACACAAAATTTAGAAATATAATTTTCACATTCAACTCAATCATATTAACACTATCAAAGAATATAAACAAAATAATTTATTTAATCTCGTATATTTCTTATTCAAGTATGAAATATAAAAATATATTTTTTCTAGATGTCACAATACTATTATGTAATTGTAAAAATAATTTACAATTATTTTCTTATATCATGAAAATATTTCTAGATATTGTTTCAAAAACTTTCCAAAAAGCTAAAATTTATACACTAATAAAAATACGATAAATGTAAAATTCGTACAACGCACGTGACAGTCACTGTGCGGAGAGGTTTATTTATTTATTTATTTTTTCAAGCTTTGCACTGTACGGAGAGTTTGCCAACTCTCCGCACTATGCGAAGTTTTTTTTTTTTTTTTTTTTTTTTTTTTTTTTTTTTGCTTTTTTTACTCCGCACTTCATAAGGACAGTGTTCAGACAGAATGTCATCTCTCCACACTGTACGAAGAGTTTTGCCATGATGTTTGCCATAATTTTTTTTTTACTTCGCACTGTACGGAAAAATTCATAACCAACAACACTCCACAAAAGCTTTAGAAAAAAAGTCGTTTCAAATGAGTGTTTTTATATTACAGAATATCACAAAATGAAATATGTTCTTAGCAATGAATATGAGTAATATGGCGATAAATAACATTATACGCGGTAGTGTCATGGAGTGAAATAACTATTTTTCAATTAGTTTGATTAAAATGAAAATTTTTAAATTAAATTTAATAAAATCATTAATAATATAAAATAGTCAATAATTTAACTAAAGGTGAAAAAATCTTCCCATGCAAATGGAAAACTTAGCCCCCATTTGGTTATGATTTTTCACCCCAAAAAATCAATTTTTTATCGTTACTTTCCTAAATTAATCGTCATTTTTAACTTCTTCATTTACAGATGGAATCAACTGTTCTTTCTAACGATCAAAAAATTAATTATCATAATCACTACCGAACAAACTATTTTCTTGTCTCATTTTGTTTTCACAATTTAGGTAAAAGTTCAAGAATTGATACTAATAGACGATTTTTCTCTCTATAACAAGTGTCTTGGGTTATAAGTCCTATACTTGGATTAAATTAATAATTTAAAATTTTCAAGGGAGATGGTTTGGCATATTATCGATTAGGGATCGTTCGATTACATTTATTTTCTATGAAAAATATCAGTTTTTCACCCAAATTTCTATTTTGGGTGTTTGATTGTTATTTTTTTTATTGAAAATATTTTTCAACTTTTGAAAATATGTTTAATTTTTCTTTTTTTAAGGAAAATATTTTCTTCAGGAGAGGTAGTTTTTGTTTTCCTCTAAACGAAGAAAATATTTTTTTTTCTAAGTGATTATTTTTCATATCAATCAAATACACTCTTAGTGTAAAGTCGAGATATCAAACTTTTTTGTTGCAACTCATTCACGACCATTATACATATGTTTAGACTTTAAATGTTTGTTTGGCAGAAATTTTGATAATTAATTTTTTGATCGTTAGAGATAAAGTGAATCCTATCTGTGAGAGAAGAATTTAAAAATAACAGCTAAAATAGTGAAATAACGATTAAAAAAAATGATTTTAATTGACTTAAAACCTGTACAACACAAGAACTAAATAAATTCAAACTTAAATTAAATAAATAAATGCATCTTGCAAATATTTGATTATATTCTTGTGCGTACGTAGCTACGTATGCCTGAGTATGTATTTTGTATAATAATATAACTAAAATAAACAAATAGTAGGCAATGGCAACATCATCGTTCAAATCAACGACAAAGAGAACTACGATAGGTTCGAGTTCAGAGGACGCCGGTAGCAACTCCGGTCAGTCTCTCCGCCGGTCGAGGAGTCTCAGCCGATTCTCCCGACAACTCTCGCCGGAGGAAACTCCTGAGTATATAAAAAATGCGCCGAGAGGAAAATTCGTGAACACGGACCGGGGATCGGCAACGTTCACGGAGATCAGCCTAGACGATCTAGCGGTCGAGCTCTTCTCAAATGAGAGCGATTGGTCGGCGGATAGAGAGGGAGAGGGACGTGGAGGCGGCTTTGAATCTGAGATTAGGCGGTGGGCGAGCGATACGGCGTCGTCGTCCAGGAGACGGGGGAGGTCGGTATCGAGGAGCTGCGGGAGTGATCTCGAGAATGTCGTTTCGAATGGGGCCTCGAGTAAGAATGTCAATTCTTCCAAGGTTGCTTCTGGACGGAGTAGGTCGCTCTCGGTGGCTCGTTATCAGATTAGTGATTCTGAGGTGACTTTCCCTTTTCCATTACATTTTTTTTTCTCACTTGAACTTGTTTTGTTAACTTCATTATTTATCTTCGAAATTACTGTTTGGAGCGTGATAGTTTTCTCCCTATATGGGAAATGAGTAGGGATGGCCACCACTTAGAGCCTATTTGGAGTGATTTTTTCTCCCCCAAAAAATCGATTTTTTAACCGTTATTTCACTATTCCAACAATCATATTTGAAGTCAACCACACCTTTCTCCTAACGTAAAAAAATCAATTCTCAAAATCACTTCCAAATAGGCTCTTAAACGCATTTTGTTCAGCTGGCCTTTGACCAAAATTATAAAAATAAAAGGAGTTTTAATTATTTAAAAGTGTCAAAAGACTTCTTTACCCTAACTTATAAAACAAAAATGAAGAAGAGATTGGAGTTTTTATCTAAATTTGCTGGAGCCGTGACTTGAACCTTGGATGGCAAGAAAATATTTTAATTCCACAACCATTATGGCAAGTAATGGTCCTTTATTTTTTGGTTTCAAAATCATTATGTTATCCACTCTAATTTTTTGTATTGGAACAACATATATATCATTTTGTGCTTCAGGAACAACTTCAATATTGTAATTAGAATCAATGCATTTTTGTACTATAACGATCTTAAACATTTTGTTTTGGAATGAAGAAAATGTATATCATCATTAGATTGAGAGCATTTACATCAACTGTAACTATATGAACGTCGTTTGCATTTAATGTAGGAAAAAATAAGCACGAAAACATAAAATGACTTTAATGTCATTTCAATAATACAAAAATATTTCAATTGCACAATGACTACAAAATTTAATAAATCTCGTGCTTCGAATAAGTACAAAAGATAAAGTTACAAGTTAGGACAATATTACAACCTTAAATTTCAGTACTAGCTGATAGACTTGTGCAAGTGGATCGAACATGATTAATTTTCGCACCTATTGCATTTACGAGGCGTACGTGTCTTTCCGGCTGATCGTTTCCTCTTTTTTGACGGTCGTCCACGCTGTCTTTGTGTTAATGGTGGAAATACTTCTTTAGCTTTCACATAACTGGGAATTAGTCATTCGACCTCATTTGGCAAATGGTATACAAATATAGAATACGCTTGTTTCCAACAAATATTAGTATAAAAGTGGCTACATAGGTTATAACAGCCATATCCTTTAAACCTCACGACAGCAATTGTATGCGTACATGGGAACTTGTCCAGATCAAATTTCCTACATTTACAAGTCTTTTCATCTAAGTCCACAAAGTGGTGTTCTAAAATGTCACTAACCTGATAAATGTCCGGAGATACTTGATTTAAATTTCATCCATGGGTAACTCCACATCGTTGTCATCTACTATAGGAAAATTATTGTTGCCATCCACTCTTCTAGGACTATTTTCACTTACATCAAAATCGGTACAATCGACAAATATTCCATCACCATTGTCATGGTTACCATCGTCGTCCGATCGGTCATGTTCCTCCTCATTGTTCCTATTTGCAATTTGTCCTCCGCCCTCTATTAGTAATAAACATCTTTCATCACCTAAATCCTTTTAATTTTCAACTTCATTCGAAAGGGTTACACAAAGAAAAATTTCTTTACGGACAGATATAAATCACTTAACATTGTTGTTTCAATCAATTATGGTTGGAGCAGCTAGAGCTTTAGACATTATAGGGGCAAGAGCTGAAATCTCCATTTTGTATAGCCCTGTATTGACGTTCAACACCTCTTTGACTTTATCACATAATTCCATATAAGAAATAGTTTTCGCAACAAGAATAGGAGTCGTTTTTCCTTTGCTATTCCCTGCATATTGTCATTTCCATATACTTTCAACCAACTGCTCATATTCAACTGGAAACAAACTGATATCCATACCATATTCGCGGTGTCTATTACTGTAATTCATTATAAAAATTTCATCAAATTTCAAACATTGTACAGTACTGATAAGATATGAAGTCATTACGGATTGCAGAAAACGACATGTAAGTCATTATGTACAGACGAAAATCAAATGTATATTTTACAGTAGATCAATATAAATAATAGCCAAACATATCTTTGCCCACTTACATTTTACTCTAACCGATACAAATGATAGGTAATGAGAAAAGGGTTGGGAAGTAACCCATATCAAAACTCTAATTTAATTATAAAATTAAATCAAAATTATTGTTCACAAATAAAAATCATAAACATATATACAACAACACGAATAAATTATTCAAAAAATTGGACAAAGAAACTAACCCAAAAATTGAAAATTACAACACCCTTTTCTTCTCCAAATGCCCAACAATAATATTGTAAGATTTTATTACTCACTTCAACCAAATGAGTGTTTAGGGAATGTAGAGTTTATGGTTTCATTAAGTAGAGAAAAATGATGATGACATAGAAAGGAATTGCATACCTCTACGGTCGATTTTTTAAGAGCAAATGGAAGGAAGGTAGAATTTAATTGGGGTCAAATGGGAATCAGGGTAGCAATGTCTTTTTCTATGTAAGGTCATTTTAGTCATTTATAAATTATATTTTCCATTTTCCATATCTTTAGGCCTTCAACTCAAAAAACTTTATTTGTGGACTTTTTAAACTAATGTTTTGTTTGACTAGGCTTTTTAAATGAAAGCCCCTATCTATATTCTTAATTAAGAAACTATTAATAGATATAAACATGATATTTGAGAGAACATAAGGCACCTAATATTATTGCATTTCGTTGCATGTGCCATTAGAAATTTGATAGCATAAAAATTTCTAAATATGCCCAATGATGGGAGCAAAAATTTTGGTTCAAAAAAAATTATATTTGCATGGTGTTGAATGAGATATTTCCATACAAAATTTCTTTCTTCATGAAATCAGGCTGTTTATTGATTACTGTAGATGGAAGGAGTGATTAATTGGTCAGTATATTATGTTCTTGATTTGGAGTGTGTGGTTATTTTTTGCGAGGAAATTTCTTAAAAAGGACCAAAGCAGTGAGAGAAAATGAAAACAAAATTGTTTTCTAAACTTCTGTTGGTTGAGTAACTTGAGTTGGATGAGTTGGTCGAGTTGAGGACTTGAGAGTTCCAACTCCTTCAGTTCTCCAAACTCGCACAAAAGTGAAATTGTTTTTGCTCAATGTTAAATTAAGGAATGTTATTTTGATTATTAAAAAAAAAAAAAGGAAGAAGAAAGAGATGGCTATTCTTTATCTGCACATCTAAACAAATCCTTTTGGAAAAATTAGACTTTTTTTGAACTTTAAAAATAGTGTTTTGATATTTAGTATGAGAATCGCTGCAATAAGATTATGACATGCTACACATGCAGGTGAACACTTTTATTTTGGCTAGATCCTAAATTTTTTTTTCCCTGGGCTCATGTAAAAATTCCACAATTCATTTTTCAGTGGGTCTGTCTAACAGTAAACGATATTTTCTTTTAAATAAAATTTTTACGTGGCCACGCATCTTTTAATGTGGTCTTAGATATTTTTTAGGAAGCAAGTTTTACTAATCTTTGGGTTGCCATAGACCTTTTCCAATGGGAAAAAACTGTAGGCTGGCTGTTCTCAAGAAGGTCCATGTGTTCGTGTAAATGTGTAATGCTTAAACAAACGGTCACTACATGCACTTGGTAGGAATGCGATATTCACATTCTTTTCATTCCACAACTAAAAGAATCCCTGCCACCTCAATTGAATGGGGTTATATGGTGTCCATTTAAAGCAACACCTATGTTGAAGTCAATCCCAGAGTCCTTGAATCAAGATTGAGGCACTCATGATTCACAACTGCACAAGCAATTGCTCAAAATTTTGAGGTGGAATGCAAACCCATTATACCAGAACCAACAATATTAGGTCAAAAATTGAAAATTACTTGGTAATGTGAAGGTAAAATTTACAAATCAAATTTGATACATTTTTATAGAGAAAAATAAGGTTAAGATTGTGAAATAACTCGTATATTTGGGAACTAAAATCCTTAATTCTAGGGAGAATGATAGAAGATACTGTAAAATAGACATAGTTCTCGAGAAATTGCCATAGTTTGCATTGAGTTACAATGTGGATAAATCGGGTGGAGAGTACAGCATGGGATGGAAAAGATGTATGGCTCTATCTGATCCACTAATTCGTCCTGTACTAATTGATCCATATAGCCCCATTTCATTGAGCTAGCAGGAGTTTTGTGGAAATTAATAGGGCATGTGTGCGCTTTCATACCTTGTTCACCTGGTAGGATAGAACAACCCTAATTTACCCATGCATACATGTGTTTTACTCGTGTCTTTTTTCGATTTTAGATAACAACTATAGATACTTTGGTATCTTGAATTGGTTTCAAGTAGTTTCGACCACCATTATCTATTCATGTAGGTGGACCTCTTTGGAGCGGAGTTGGAAAGAAAAAGATCGAGCAGATTCAAATATGAGTTTTCATAAAATTGTCATTACATTTATCATAATATGAAATATGAATTATATATGCAATTTCTTCATTCCAATAATAATACATATTGTGCCACTTATGTTTTTACAGAATGCTCCACATCATTCTAGGAATTCAAGCAATCATGCTAGTACAAAAGGCCTCAATGGTCGAAATAATCTGATGAATTTATCAAAGAAGTCAACTGCTTCTAGCAATCAGCCACTTGGAAGTGATCTTTCTCTGTTGCATGATGTCTATTCTGTAAGATTCTTGTCTGCATAGAATGTGTTCGTACTTGTCTTTCTTTCTTTTTAATATACCTGTATATTCAGAAATGCTATAAATTGGAACCTTGAGTGCAGCTATCTTTGCAACTATTTTGTTGCTGATTGAAAAACTCATATTCTTATACAACGCTATAAATTGGAACCTTGAATGCAGCTATCTTTGCAACTATTTTGTTGCTGATTGAAAAACTCATATTCTTATACACTACATGTTTGCATTTGATATTTGGGCTATAGATACAATTAAGAATGAACTGAAAAATGGCATTTGCTTCTCAACTCCTACAGAGCAACTTCTCTGCCCTAACTGATGATGAATCAAAGGATATGCTTATTTTGGTATAAAATGGATTGGAGAAGATTATGCAAACAGTTTATGCAGAGAAGAGCAGTTGATATTATACATGTATTAGGTTGGCATTCTAGAGTTTTCGCTGTGTAGCATTTTCCATCTCTACATCTGTACGTATACTCCCGTTCTTCAGGACGAACACCATGACTTAGGATATTGTGAACAATGGGCTTTATGAAGCAATGCTTAAAAAGTTTAGACATGCTGTTGAAGAAATCCGAATGGACCTAAATCAAGTGTGTAAAAATCAATCATAAAACCTGTTTTATATGTTCTGATTTTTTATTTTATTTTATTTTTTTTGTGGTTCTAAAATATAGGTTTATATGTATATTTAGAAATTTATAAACATTTCTTTTGATGTATGCAGGGCATAAGGAGAAATCAGGTTGTTTTAAGTGGTGATTGCTCGCAGTCAGAGAATCCCGAGTTTGTTCAAGATTTTTCATCAATCAGAGAGAAGTATGCAGCAACCTTGGAACAGGTGTTTATCTGTGCAACTATACTGTTATATCTTTCTTGCATAGGCATCTTACCTACTGCATGTTCTTGTTTATTTGGATTTTTCTCTGCCTACAGGTAAAATTGGGGCTACATCGAGATAGGCTGTTGATATTAGTTGCAATCTCTAGCGAGTGATTAATGGAGGAATAGATTTATTTTAGTGATGTTTTGCACTTTTTTTATAGGACATGGCTTTCTTGAGGCATGCCTATCAGCTATTGTTGTTGATGAAACAAATATTTGGGGAAAACCCTTCACTTGTTTGTTTCATATCTGTTGTTCATTTCATGATCTATTTCTTAATCCATGGATCCTTTCATTGCAGCCTTAAGGAGTGTATCATTTAGCACATTCGTGTTTATAACTAGCTTCAAACTATGGATGATCTTCTACAATTTTATTCATGGATATCTCTAGTTTAGGATTGGGATTGATATTCTGCTTATGTACTTATGTTGCATGTTTGTGTGTATCTATGGGAAATGAACAATGTTTTCATTAGTTAGAATGGGTGTTTGAAATAGGTGTCAAATCGGTCATCAAGCTTGTTCTACTGGCAGAACAAGAAATAAATTAATTAATATAAGAAAGAAAAATGAGACTCGCCTGTCAAATGTGATAGGATTATACCAGAGCAACCAGTTGATCCACAAAAGTCGAAAACTACCGCACGTTTTTATCTTCTTAAGTTTTAATTTATATAGTTCTGTTGGGTCTCATCTTTTGTCAGGAAATAGGAACTGTGAAGTCCAGAATTTTAATTTCTTGGTAAATGAAACACTTAAGGTGGCCTTTTTTATAGGGGGATAGAGATGGATTGATGACTTAGGAATAGTTTGAAGGTGCGAATGGAATCAATTTATAATATCCTGTATTTGGTATGGCCCACGAAAGATAAAAGGAAAGGAATTGATCCTAATCGTTATTGCATTCTTATTGAGCCCGCCAAGCATGCTTTTCACCTCTAGATGGGGGAGAGGGGTTGGAGTCCAAAAAGTATAGTCCTTATTTCTTGAGTTGTTCGAGTATTTTTAGTAGCAGGTAGTGTATTGAGGTCTGTTCCCTATGTGTCGGGAATTGGCTAAATGATGATTTAAACCTCATGAAGATTTCATAATTAAACGCGTGTGATACATTCTTGGGAATTTCCTGTCTATGTTCCTGTTACCTTGGATAAACAATCTGAAACGAGGGCTAACTAAGTTTCTTACGAACTTATAGTCGGAGAAGCGTAAACAGAATCTTCTTGCTGAAATTTTGCTAGAGGAGCAACGGAGTCAAGATCTCTCTAAAATCATCAGAGAACTACTTCCTGATTCAAAGAGTGCAGCTATTGCAGTGAAACCATCAAGAAGCGGAAAGGTGCATGTTTCCTGTTGTGCTTAAATGAACAAGTCATTTTTGTATAATCAACAACTGTTTTTATTTTATTTATTAAGAGGTAATGGTGACACAATATGCTCACTTTTATACTTTTCGTGAATCCAGAGAAGTAGCGTCAGAAGTAGAATGACAAAACGATTGACTGAAAAGGCAGAGAAATATTTTGAAGACTTCATTTCAAATGTTGAAGATACAGATATATCTTCATTTGATGGAGAAAGGAGTGATGGAAGTTCAACTCTAGGAGGGACAACAAGAGCAAGAGACATTACAGTCGGAGAAGCAAAATCTTACCAGAGTCCTGCTGGATCGTCTTGTCCCGTGGAAATGGAAGGGGTTGTTTTACCTTGGCTGCAATGGGTGACTAGTGATGATTGTTCCCTTTCAGGGAAGGATAAGATGCAGGCTCCTGACACACCGGAAACTTTGTTGCTGGACTCAAAAATGGTAACTTTTTACTTGTAAATGCCTTTTGAGATGATTTTGTTGCACTGAGTCTGAAGTTCTAATAACTTCGTCTATTTCCTATAAAAGAAATCCTTGGTTCTTTTTGGTTAATTGAATTGCTGGCATACTGATTGTTAGAATCGCGATAAATTCTGCGGTATTTAGATGTGGAGCAGATGAAATTTACCATCTCTTGGTCGTCCAGCAACATTGTCTCAATTTGGCAATTTTGTGGTTTTTAAGTTGTCTTGGATCTTCGAGTTTGTCTTTTCCCACTTGATATCCCGCCAATAGTTGTTGGACTGTATGCAGCCTAATAATTATGTGCACTTATTCCCTTAATAACTGATCGAGTTAATATTCCTACTGCTTATAAAATTTTAGGAGGCCAATGGTTTTATGAGTGAGATGCGTGATATAACATTATACTCCTTTGTTATGGTAAAAAACAAGCAGTTGTGAGGTGCACATACTCTCACATTGTGGTTGAAACGACATATATCTGTCTGGTTAAGTTGTTCATTTTATTTTGTATTATTATCTATTAAGGAGAAATTAGGACTTAATAATCCGTTAGAGCTTTTAACGTTTCTATGTTGATATATTTTGGAATGATAATTTTTTTACTTCATACAGGACAAGAACTCATTCCAAGACCTGAGTAGTCATTCCACAAGCACACATGGGAGTTGGCGTCGGAGAGTTTTCGACTGCTCTCTAAGTTCAAGGGATGAAAGTAAAGGCAAGAGCAGACTATCCTGCCAACCATCGTACTTTGATATGGAGGAGTATGTTAAGCTTCAAAAAAACGATGAACTTTTGTTTGAAATGTATAAAGAACAGAAAAGAATCAATTCGGGCGGCCTTTTGCTCTGTGCTAACGTTCTCTAGTTGTTTTAATAGTAGCATAGCTTAGTTGTTTTTAATTGATTCTAGTAGATAAAGCTTCAAATTTTTAGGTGGCTAGGAGTAGAAGATACGAACTCTCTGTTAAATGTTATACATCACCGTATGATGTCATTGTTATATAATACACTACCATTTTTATTTTATTTTGAAAGAGTAGTTACTGCTACCATTTTACTCAGGCCCCGTTTGACCCTCATTAATTTTTATTCCATTACATTTCATTTTCTCTTCTATTTTCAATCATACAATCTTTCATAAAATAATATTACATGTAAATCAAAATAATTTCCTTCTTTTTCGATCAATCATTTTTCAAAAAAATACTATTCCACCAATTTTCATTTTCACAAAATGGGAACCAAACGGGAGCCAAATAAGTTTTATTCCCTGCCCACGTCGTCCAGGAATCATAATTGAACTGCCAAAAATTAGTTTCAATGGCCGGAAAACCACCACAAAATATAGAGTTTTAAGTACCTATGAATCTCAATTTTTTATAAACATAAGACCAGGCTTAAGATTGAATTAGACTACAGGGGATCACAATTCACAGAAAGCAAGAGAGAAAAATAGGCTCACACATCTTAAAAATGGATTTCCCTTTTGAAGGGATTGCCCTTTTGACATTTCTAAATCTTCCGTAAACTTCTCTCGTTCCATTATCAACTGGTCACTACTGCAAACTCCGTATTTTCCATTTATCCTGAGCCATAGCATACGGAACAAAAAGAAGACAAACAAATAACGGACAGCAACTGATGTACAATTACTTTCCCAAATCAGGGACAATCCACCACAGGATGCAGAAAGTTCTAAGGATGATCACTGCGATCTAGTTTCACTTCTCAACTGGCCCATATTAAATATACTTGAATCAATCTATCTCTCCTTCTTCCGGATCATTTGGAGCATTGGGAGTGCTTTTGGGCTCACCTTCGTCTTCCTCATCATCATCCATCTTCATATATAATCCAAGTTGCTCCAGTGGGTTACTACTGGCCTGAAATTTGAAACTACCAAGACCATTTTGAGAGTGTTCTGGGCTCATCTCCTCTACGAAGCTTTGTATATGCTTGTCCGGAGCAGCTCTGAACATTTCTAAATCTTCCATAAACTGACTATTCTCATTAATATCAACTGTCTTCTCCATCTGTAGTCGATCATGCCATCATTAGCAGGGAATAATAACTTTTCAACCAATTTTTCTCATGATAAATGAGCTCTCTAACTTTACCTTCAGCAGAGCCTGACGTGCTGCTTCCCTTTCAAGTTCTCTTTGCCTTTTGGCTTCTGCTGCAGCTTCTTCTTCAGCTTTTCTTCGAGCCTCTTCTGCAGCCTTGGCTTCTGCTTGCAGACGAGCTTTCTCTGAAAACGAATTCACATGTGGAAAATTAAATTATAATAACAATGATGACCATATTGGGAATAGTCAAGAAACAAATACCTTCTTTTCTCCTCCTTTCAAGCTCTTCCATCTCCAGCCTCAACTTCTCCGGATCCTGCTTTTCACCCTAAAAAAAAATGTCGTCCGTTACTAAACAGCACGAGGTGAACACAATTGAGCAGGATGAAGTTTCGGCAATAATTTAAACTTCCACAAACCTTTTCAAGGGTATTCTCTTGAGCTTTGATTATAATATCAGCAAATCGACTTCTCAACAAAGCTGCTCGGTACAGCTTTTCAGGGGAGACTTGCCTCTCAGGTGGAGTGCTCTCCCCTAAAAGGTTACATCATGGTGGTAAGATGATGCAGCATAACTAATACCAGACATTTTCTTCATTACTTTTCACCACTTACCCTCTTCAGGACCAATAGGCTCAACAGAGACAAAGTTTGAAAGTGATTGTTGCTCAGCGTGGCCATCCAAGGACTCTGCAGTGAACTTGGAAAATGTTATAATGAATAATGTACAAAAGTTTAAAAAAAAAAAAAAAAAAAAAAAAAAAAAAAAAAAAAAAAAAACTTATTTTCAGCATACCTTTGCAGTACCTCCAGGAACTGAATCTTTGACATTATCTGATTCACCAACAGCTAAACTTCTCACATCTGAATCTGAGTAAACAGCATCAAATCAAAATAAAATATAGGTTTATATGAACACAAATTAAAATAATCTAGAGTTGCAATATATAATTGACTAATTGAAGTTACATGACCATGAAGTTTAACTAAGGAAAATATTACAACCTCAAAATTTTAATTTTCAGTTAAAACACAAAAAAGGACAAAGAACAAGAAAAATACTCTCAATTGCTTGTAAAGAGAACATTTCGATAGCAATGAAGGTTAAAAGAGGTAAATACGCAGTGTGTGATTAAAGAATCCGGGGTAAAAGCATACGGAAAAGCTTATAATTATACATTTATAGCAAAACCAAGGCTAGGGCGAAAGTTATTTAATACATAACTCAAAAAATGAAAAGGAGAGATATAACCCAATTTGACTGTTTTTAAGGTTAAATTTACATTGGCAAGATCACAAGTAAAGGATGGCATCCCCAATCAGGAGCATATATTTTATAGCATATATTTTATGCTTGACAACGTAATTTAACATTGAAGTAAAAATAGATGTCTGATAAATGGAGGAAGAGAGATATGATGCCTTTTCCTAAAAAAGGGTGAAATAGTATTGACCTTGCGACGTGAAAATATATTAAAATGATGGTGATGTAAACTTAAATTGGCATGTTGCATCAACATAATCAAAGACCGTGTCAATTTAAAATGAGTGTGATGCTAATTTTTCCTCTTTTCACATAATTTTATTCTTCCTGTAGCATCTACATAATCAATGAGAGTGTCAACCATGCAGCAAGATATAATATTTTTGTTGTGCTTTTCAAGAAAAAGATGTCAACAAAAAGAGCTGTTCACCAGCTACAATTACTTTCAATGAATGTCTACTTGGAAAGTCACACTCTGCAATTTTAACATCATATTGTTCTGTATAATTCAGTTTTAAATTGAAATAAACATGGAAAGCAAGAAATCAGAAGAACGTGAGAACATACTATAACCCATGAGAAAAAGAGAAACCTATGCAAAAACAATATACATGCCAAGACTAATTAAAGATAAATCTCAAATACAATGTAGCTAAACAGAGAAAGGTAAACATGAAGTACATGCAAAGAGTTGCAATTATCAAATATGCAAAACAACAAAGCCACAGTATGAAAAGAGAGCCCAATCATAACAAAAGATGGACCCAAAAAAAAATGCAAAAGACAAAACCCCAGATTGATTATTAATGCCATGTTCTATATTTCTTCAAGATTCTAATAGGAAATTTAGTTGGGGCATGGCTTCAGCAGAGTTGCTTATAGAATGCGGTATATAATTATTTTATTTACATTAATCAATATCTCACAGTCCCAATGAACCAATCCTCTGTTTCAGCATCCTTAGAAGGTCACAAAGTTGAGAAAACTAAACTTCTTTTTCGTGTAATAATACAGCTGAAACTGTAATGCGAGATGTATGTCATTTCTGTTTACATGACTTAATATCTAGCTTCACTTTTATGAGACTCTATTTTCACTATTTAAGATCAAGCAGAGCGTAACCATGAAGTTTACTTCTTCAGTAGAAGTGAGATCTTGGGGAAGCTAATCCTGTTACCACAGTGGACACTCATTGAGTGCGGAGACCAATCAAGACTTCAGTCACATTATCGTAATCCCTTTACTCAACAGTTCATCAACAATTTGAACAAAACACTAATGTGATGATACATCATCTATATATACATCAAGTAATGCAAGTGAGTCACATGACAACCCAAATTTGTTTTTAGTGGGAAAAAGATCCATGCAATGACCTTCCTCATGGTGAGATCTGGATAACATAGCAATTAAAAATTGCCACCCCTCTTAACCTTTAATACAATTTTCTGTTGGATAAATCCAGTTCCACTAATGTTACCTTACCAAAATACTGTGAAAATTCATCAAATTATTCATAAATTTGTTTTGCAATGTTCGGGGATAGAATCAAGGAAGAAACAGAGGGCTATTGATGCCCAAAGATTGGCTGAGACATGGAAGGGGGAACCATCTCAGAACCCGAGGGATTCGAGGCAGCTGCATTTTGGAGGACTCGAAATCAATAATAAACACATACTACTCTGGAGACAAATAAAAAGCGCAGTACACAAGGAGAATGGAAACTTCTGGCCTACTACAATGTCCAACAACTATGAGCATGCTTGAGCGTGCTTATTATAAGCTGATTACAAGTTGTGGGTCCCACGGAACGTGTGGATAATAAGTGGGTAGTAGTGCATGTCCTAAAAAATGTGTGAATAAAGAGTGTATTTGACCAACTTAAATTATTATAAGCTTTGCCAAACATGCATTATGACACTGCAATAAAGATCAAAATCAACATAGATAGAGACCCTTAAATGAACGTTCATAAGTTTCAGAACTTATAAAATTAAGATATTTAAAGAGATATTTCATAATAGCATGAAGCACTGGATGAGGAACCTGACTCGCTACTGGAGCTACTCGAAGTACTGCATTTCCTGTTTCTTTCAGCATTGTCCTCAGTCAAGGCAGGAAAACTTGAGATAGGAGGATCAATTCCACCGATATCTTCATCCTCGTGAGCTGTTTCCTTGCCTGTTTTATAGTTTAGGAGAGGATGAACGTAGTCAATAATCAAAGCAAGACGTTAATGACAACCAACCACCAACATCCACTTGAAAGAACTTATTCTTTACAATGCAACTTCATCGGTTGAAAGGAAGATTACCCTTGCAAGGTTCCACAGATGAATTGCTCAATCCCGAGACATTTCGAATCTGCATAAAGATATACATACCAGATTTGAGATACATATACATGCATAAACATAGAAGTACATAAAAGGTAACTTAAGCGCGTACATAAGGATCATTTGAATAAGTACCTCCATTTCACATGGCTCAGCTGTTGCCTGATTTTTTTGCTTCTCCAGTAAATACTCATCCAACATCCTTCGTAGTGTGAAAAGGGTATCATGGCCGAGAGTGTCAATATCAATTTCAATCTCATCCTCACTTACTTGATTCCCATTCAAACTACTCTCTTTCAAAAACTCAATAATATTTTCAGGTAATTCTGCAAGTAAGGTCTCTAATTCCGTGCCCAGTTTTTGCTTCTTGGCATCGCTCATTGCATGCTTAACTGGTTTTTTCTTGACCTTGTTCTCAGCAGATGTACTTTTCTGCTTTTTAGTAGGAGGAACGAAAGAGTCAGTTTCAGCTTCTATAATAACGCTTGATCTTGAAGGCTGGGATTCATCTGCCATTATGGGGATCTTCTTCTCAATTGGTTTCCATCTCACTTCAAAGAATTTTTTCATTGCCTCGGCCATGAAATGGAAATCATTTCCACGTGGGTTGTAAGTCAATGCATTTTCGAATGTGAGCCTCACATCCGCAGCAAACCCCATCAGACTGGAATACTCACCCGAAAGTAACTTTTTTCTTATTGTGCCCAAATCCATTGGATGCTTAATAACATTGAAGTAATCTGGAATGTTAAATTTTACAGTATCAACAGGTTCATTGAAGACCCAACCATACTGATGAGCCATCAACCGATTTAGCAGTGTCTCGCACTGTTTCATCAACATCACAAAATTGGTATTCTGAGGCAGACCCTGCTTCACAAACCCAGTTCGCCTACCTTCTACAGCCCCAACTTTTGTGTGATGCCCATTTCTTCCTGGAGTAAACTTTTTCCCTGGCGCTGCAGCCATTTTATTCATAGACATAGGATAACTTTCCACAGCAACAGGTCTTTTTAGTCCTTCACTATAGCTACGTATATCACTAGTAGGTGAAGCTCTCACGGCATTTGAGCCAGATGAAGTTATCTTTGCCTGAAGCATCTTAACTTGTTCGAGCTCCTTTTTCAACCTCATCTCCAAATCCCTCTTCTCCAAGTGCGACATCTTAGACAAAGACATTACTTGAATTGGCACATTGAAGCTATCATAAGCATCATCATTTAAGCTAATGCACTTTCCTTCCCGAGCATAAAAATCCTCCGCAGCTGCCATTTCAGTGTTAACCCTGCCCGAACTTCCAAAACCTTCAGATTCAGCCACTGTCTCAACTGCATGCCTGTAATCTGGCACAAAACCAGACGTATACCCCTTTGTAACCTTCCGTGTTTTCCCCATCATAGCTGCTGCTACAGTTTTTGAGCAATTATTTAATTACCTCCGTCCAGTGTGTTCTATAGGAATAGTTGGTGCCGTAAATTAATCTTTTTACATTTATTAGCCTTTCTTTTTCCTTCTTTTTTTTTTTCAAACCCAATCGTATGTTATAAACAGGCCAACTTCAAAAAATTCCAAAATATAAAACTTTTCAGTGTATCCAATAAAATTTTATGATATCCGCGATACGAAAATCTTAATTTCTACCAAAAAAATTGTGATAATTTTTCCACTCAACCGGTAGCTAAATTATACCAGGATTTCACTCCAATAAAACCCTAACTTCAACAATCATTCAGTTCATGTCTAAATTCAGAAATCTGAATTTTTGTCTGATTAGCAAAAGCAATATCCAAACCCTAGATTGAAATCCAAACGCGAGAGTGGACGGTAACGGTGAAAATACAAAATTAAACCTAAGAATGCTCTATAAGAATCCAATTCAAAACATGGATCTCAATACCTAGTGGGGGTTGTAGTCGGGTGATGTGAATTGGTTGGTGGGTCCGACCCGTCGTAATAGTGAAACCCTAAAGATGCAAAAAATTGCGAAACCTATAGATACAATATATATAGTTATTTATAGAGAGAGAGAAAGTAGAGAGGCAACTTACGCTGAGCAATTGGGGTTTCGCTGGATCGCCACTACTTAAGGGCGAGACACCGTCAAGCCCGCCGATCTCAAACAACTCCTGGCCGTTCACTTTTCGGGCTATTTAATCGGACGGTTAAAATTCTTTTGATTTTCAGAGTCAGATCTGAATCTAACGGCTGTCATTGACTCAATTAATTGGAGATTAAAAATAAATTACAATCTATTTCCTTTTAATTCGCTGATTAGACTAAAAAGCCCCAATTGCAAGTGAAGTAGAGATGTTACACGAACGGCATCGTATAGTTTAGTGTCTTCGTGTAGCAAAACTGGAGCGAGTAAGTGAATAGATGTACTCCCGGGAGACAATTAACACTAGGTTGCATTGACTTTCTACTTCCTTGTCACGCGACAAGCTTCGGACGCGCTTCTAGATGATACTGTATTGGGCTTTTTAAGATTGGAACAAAATGTGTGTCTACGTGATGGGCTTTGTGTTTGGACATTTTTTTGTTTCATTCTCAAAACTTTTTAAAATCGTGAAGACTGAGGGTTTGTTTGAGCCACATTATTTTAAAAAAATACATTATAAAATAGTGATTTGACATTATTTCAATCACACATTTTTCAATAAAATAATATTCTACGCAGATAAAAAAAATTTCCTTATTTTTTGACCACACATTTTCCTTCAATACACTATTCAAGAATGCATTATTACCAAAATAATGTGGCTCAAACACCCCCTCAGTTAAACCTGTTTGGTATAGATTAAAATTAGATTTTAAATAATTTTTTATAAAAATTGATTAAACCCTTGTTTGATCCCATTTTGAGGGAAATAATGCATTTTGAATAACAAATTAATGTAAAATGTGCGGTAAAAAATTAAAAAAAAAAGTTTTGGATTTGCGTGTAATATTATTTTATTGAAAAATGTGTGATTGAAAATGAGTTTTGAAAAAATGAATTTTTAGAGAAATGAGAATCCAACAAGGGCTAAATAGATGGTTGAAAAGTTATAAATCCAATAATATGAGTTGTTAAAATTAATTGTTAAATTTAAATTAAGAACTTTAATATATTATGCCAAACAAGAGCTAAATTTCTTTGTGTAGACAGTTTGAGTAGGAGCTAGCATAAATAGACCTAATTTGGAAAATGTCCTTGAATAAATGGATGACGAAGTATTAATCATCGAAACATTCATTTGTAATCATAGTCTAACTACATTTATTCGTGTAATGAATAAAAAATCATAAATTGCAAACAAATCAAGTTGTTCATCGGCTCTACTCAATCCATGAGCAAGCTCGGTTTATATCGAGACAAGCGGACTTGTGGGATACTTCCATGAGCCAATTGTCCACAGCTTGTGGGCCAAGTCCATGAGCCGGTTCTTGGCTCATGGGCTACTTCATCATTTAGATAATTGATCAAATTTTATTTTTTATTTTTTAAAATAAATATGATCAGCTTTTATCTGTATTCCCCATATCATTTTTCCCACATAACTCTACATTCCTAATCTTCAACCGTTGTAAACACCATAATAGTTTTTTGTTGTGCAAATTAAAGTTTTATTATCTCTAAATTTTCTTATTTGAGTTGTTTTTGACCGAAAATTAGCACAAAGTATATTTTTGCATTCTAATACTACAAAAGATGTTTTTGCATTCGATATATCACTAAAGGAATTAAAAGACGTCATAAATCCCAAGTGACAAAGGGACGAGGTAGTGTGTTGATCAGGGCATAAGAGCAAGACTATATTGTGGTCGGTTGGCAACTTCTAGTGCAATCAATAATAGATTGTACAACACAGGATATTTAATTTCGGGGAAACATCTTGTATTTCAATCGTCAAAACATTCAATTATCAGTTAAGAAAGGACTTCGAACTACTTAAATCACAAATGAGCCTACTCATGGAGAAACGTTCTTGAATTTTGATAATGTGAATTCAACATGGATGTCTTCTTCTTCTTCAAGGGGCATTTTCAAAATGATGTCTTTGTTGGTTGAAGAGACAACAAACTTAAGTCGAGGAAGCCGTAAATGTAAACATTGGAGGGGAAGTTTTTACAGTTAATTTGCCTGATTTCCCTTTTGAAAAACTCATCTTAAAAATCTTTGGAACGGTTACACAATTGTCACAACTAAAAGAGAAGGTCACGAGTTATTGAGCGTTGAACATTGCATTTTTGTACGTAAGTCATATATTACACATGAAATTCACTTTATTCTTATAATTACAATTTATAAACTTTCGGTGTGCACAAATTTTATGCCTATGAGTTTCATTTGTTGTCTAATTTACATAACAAATGTTAATCACACCAAAAAGAAAAAAGAAAAAAAAAAGGGAGTATACAGAGCGATAATTTATTTATTTTTGAACTAGTATGATTTTATGCATCGAGCGATATATTCCATAATGGTTTAACAAAATTATAGATGTACGGGTTATTAGAACAAAACGTCATTGCTTTTGAAGTTTGTTGTGTAAAACGTGTATTTTTATGTATTTATTTTTGCATTTTCACCCCTATTTACACTTTTCATTGCGGAAATCATTATTTTCATCCATTTTCTCAATGGTTAAATCCTCCAATAGCCACCTAATTATATATTTAATGTCATTATGACCATCAAATTTAATTTTATTTTACCATGACCACTCAATTTTACATTTAGTGTCAACATGGTCACTCAATTTGATTTTATTTCACCATGAGCACTCAATTTCATACAATGTTCCATCATGACCACCAAACTTCTTTTCACTTTTTTCCATTAGTTTTAAAAGGTGTAAAATTGTACCTTTGCATTATATAAAAAATATTATAAAAGACAAAAATAAAAGTTCATTTAAAAAACCTTTTTTAAAATACGTTTTTATTTTTATTTTATTTTTTTCTAAGTAACGGTTTTCTAAATTAAGTTTTAATTTTATTTGTAAAAAAAAAAATTTTAGAATAATTTTTTATTTTATTTTACTTTTTAAGAAACTTTTTTTAAAGTAACTTTTTATATTATTTTTTTTCTAAGTATTGTTTTTTTAAAATAAGTTTTTATTTTATTTTTAAGTGACTTTTTTTTTTAGTAAGTTTTTATATTTTTTTAAGTAACACTTTTTTAAATGAGTTTTAATTTTGTTTTTGATTTTTTAAATCTATTTTATATATATAATGCAAAGATGTCGTTTTATCCATTTTGAAATTAGTGAGAAGAAGTTGGATGTCATGGTGAAACGCTATATGAAATTGAATGATTATGATGGAATAAAATCAAATTCGATGGGTATGATGACACTAAATATAAAGTTGGATAATTATGACGAAACAAAATTAAATTAGTTGGTCATAAGGATATTAAGTATAAAATTGGATGACCATTGATGAGTATATACCATCATATTTAAATAAAACAAAAAGAAAATAAAAAATTAAAACTTGAAACTTGAAACACAAAATCACTTCATCTTCTTAAAACACATAACTTACAAATAAGTTGCAAATATGCATAAAAAAATGAGTTGTAAGTGAGGGAAGAGTGTTTGATAGGGATTAAAATTAAATTTTTTTATAGTGATTTTTGAATTTTATGGTTGAAAAGTCGTGGATGCTACGAAATATATGGTTAAAATTTAATGTTGACTTTGAATTAAAATTTTAATTGGATTTTAATCCATAACAAAAGTGGCATAGTCGAATATTATTCTAACCTTAATTTTACAAAAGTTCGATGAAATTGATTGACACGAATATCATTCTAACGTTAATTTTACAAAAGTTTCCATGAAATCGATTAACACGCACTCTGGATTCTTGATTGATCAATCACGACAAGCCAGAATAAAGAAACACATCTTGAGGGACTCGAATATATGCTCGTCGTCCCTTCTTTGTGAAGAGACCTAAAATTCTTTCATGGTGGGCTTTTATGGGCTTCTTTAAATTACCGTGCAGGCAAAGCAAAACCAAACGCCATTTTTACGCTTCACGACTGGTGAATCTTGAAAGAGCCTCAGGCCCTCAACTCAATGGAGTCCTCAGTGGCAGCCGATCTGATTCAATTCTTGAATGCTTCTCCAACAGCTTTTCACGCAGTTGGTAATGATCTAAATTTTTATATTACTGTCCAAGATAATTTTGAAGATTTGATTTTTTAAATTTAATTTCATAGTTTTCTCGTAAAAATATTTATTTTTTGTTCCTTCTGTTTTGGTTTCTGGATTCTGTTCATGATACCTGTTGGATAGAATTAAAATCTAAATTTTAATCTATATCAAATTTTATAATTAATTTTAACCAACACATTCCCACAATTTTTCAGCTGCACATTTCATAACTTCTTTTGAAATCTATTAAAAATATTATTTTGATCCTCCACGAAGACGGGGGCATATCTTTATAGAAAGAATATAAAATACATGATATACTTATCAAGATTGACTTTTGTTTTAAAATTACATCTTCTAAACATTTTTTTCTGTTTTCCTTTTATTTCCCTTTACTTGAATTTTATTTATAGATCAAGACCATATTTGTAAGCTTAGAAGTTCTTTTATAAGTGAAAAACCAAGTTTGAAGTAACTTTTTATGATGAAAGTAAGTTAGTTACTCATTTTGATATTAAAGTAAATGAGATAGGAGAGAATTTTATAGAAAGGTAACTCTTTTTACTAAAAGACTGTTTATGCAAACATATTTGGGGAAAAAAAGTTAATCAAAGTAATTTACTTCGTTTTAGGCTTAGCTAAACTTATACTAATTGTATTATATTAACGTTTGGTTTCTGGTCCTGAATTTTTTTATCAGAGGAAGCCAAGAAGAAGTTGATAAGTGCGGGGTATAAACAAGTATCGGAGAGAGAGGACTGGGATTTAGATGCTGGCAAGAAATATTTCTTCACCAGGAATCACTCCACTATTGTTGCTTTTGCTATCGGTGAAAAGTATGAAATCATAGTTTATCATTATCACTTCCAAACGCACTATTTCTTTATTTTTCTGGATAAGAGATGGTTTCTATTTCCATTTATTTTTACATGTATATGGAAATAAATGGGAAAAAAAAAAAAAAAAAGGAAGCAGAAAAATGAGCTTTTAATCTATGTAGTTATTTTGTGGGACTGAGTAATGTCCATCGTGTATAGTTGATGAGAGTGAGAATTTCTTAACTCTACTCTCACGATTTAATTCTGATGTGTATAAGAAGGTTTCTAATCCTCATGTACTAGACTGCATGTCGAGGAAATTCCATGAATGTATGGACTTTGAATGTGAATTGATTGGCTGATATAGACTCTTTTTTTGCGTAGATATGTTGCCGGGAATGGATTTTATATAGTTGGTGCTCACACCGATAGTCCCTGCCTGAAAGTAAAGCCAGTTTCAAAGGTGATTGATGACTTGTATGCTATGGTTTACATTTAAACCGCTTTATATTGGTTGAGAGGAAGATAATTTAGTGCTCACATTTGAATTACAAAACTTTAGGTATCAAAAGGTGGGTTTTTGGAAGTCGGCGTGCAAACGTATGGAGGGGGCTTGTGGCATACATGGTTTGACCGCGATTTAAGTATTGCTGGAAGAATAATAATAAGAGAATGGAAAGATGGTTCAGAATCGTACTCACACGAGCTTGTAAGGATTGAGGAGCCTATAATGCGAATCCCTACATTGGCAATTCACTTGGACAGGTTCTTTCATTGAAGATTCTTAAGTTGGTATGTGATGCATGTTTATTTTGATAACTCTTATATGCTGTTGTCTTCGTTGGATTAGAGGAGTTAATGATGGATTCAAGGTGAACTCGGAGAGTCATCTTGCTCCAGTATTGGCTACATCAGTTAAGGTAACTTTAGAAATAGATCAAACTTTTCTAGTAAGCTTATTCAAACATTAGCTAAATGTCCTTGAACATCCATGAAGAACAAAGATAACTAGCTTAAAGTTAAAGATACTTTTAAGTAAGTTTTTTTTCCAAATGGGCAAACATGTCTGGTTATGTTACATTTTCTCACGTTTTTTGAAGTTAGCGTATGTTTGGCTCATGTTTAAAATATGTTTATAAATACTCAAGTCACTTTTTATCCCACACATGTCAAGGGACTCACAAAATACACACTTATCCTGTACTAATTTTTATGTATTTATAGTTTAAACAATTTATACACACTTCTAAACCAGCAAGGGTTCTAGAATAGTCAAAGCTACTCGATAAAGGATGGTGGATTCAGACATCAATTCTAAATGATTTGATTTTTTACGTGGAGTATCTCAGATTTTTAGGATTGCTTTCATCTTTCTACTGTTTTCTTGTGCGTGTACATGTTGAGCAACATGGATTTTATGTAATATAAAATTTTCACATTGTGGTAACAACCAGAGTCAGATACTCGAGGTTGGAAGTGCAAGTTTATAAGGTCTGTTGCTTATGTTTGATAAAGATCACACTATAAAACACAACACATTAGGCATTTTCTTTGGTTAAACGACAATTCAAAACTGAGCTAAATGTAGGCCAGATGTGATGTGGAGCATTAGTTAACAATATTAGAAGAATTATTGTTTGTTTGCTTATATGGACACAAATGTAACAAAAACAAAATCCCATCCGATGATTGTATATATATATATATATATATATATATATATATATATATCTTTATTTATTTATTTATTTTTTTTTTTTACCATGGGTGTCCGGACCGGCTTACGCGCACCTTGACTAATCTCACTGAACCCTGAAATTTACAACCGGATGCTCACCTCAGTGGCTCCAAGGAGACTCGAACCGATGATCATTGGGAAGCAAATCCAAAACCTAATCACTAAGTTACCCCTCAGAGTTAAATTTGATGATTGTATTTGACCACCTATTTTAATAGATTAGAAATTCTGTCTACATTATTAAAATAAGCTAGGATTTCTGGATTAGTTTCATTTTCTAATTGACACCCATATTATTCAGGAATTGTAATATTATCTTTCTATCTTATAGATATTGTTCTTTCCGAGGTAGCTTGAATTTTCAGCATTGCTTTATATTACCACTATAGAGTTGGCACCCACCATCTGGCAAATAATTATAAAGAATATGACCTCTCATCATTTCCTTAAGGCAAGGGTCATTATAAAAGAGGTGAACACAATCAATTTTAATTTACATTATTCTTTTTCCGTGAAAGGAATTGGATGGAGTACATCGTTCTTTAACATCATTATATTGTATTTTATTCATCAAAATACGCTTCTCTTAAACAATTTGACATTTCTTATGCAGGGTGAGCTCAACAAACCAGTTGCTGAGAATGGTTCTGTTGAAAGTGTAGTTCCAACCGACGGGAAGAAAATCAAGGAAACAAAAAACAGTCCGAAGCATCATTCCCTTCTTTTGCAGGTATGTTGCTTTCTGGTTAGGTTGTGTTTTGTGTTTTTCTTATTCTTGTTTTACTTCTTATGTCTACATATTTGTGTAGGGAGTTTGTGAAATTTCTCGAACATTATTCATCTTGTAAATTTCAGCTTTTATTTAAGGGATCTTGACTATGTTCTCATCACATTTTTTTTACCTTCTTCTTCCCTTATTCCAGCTTATTGCAGCTCGGACAGGATGTGAACCTGATGACATTTGTGATTTTGAATTGCAAGCATGTGATACTCAACCAAGTACCATTGCTGGTGCCATGAATGAATTTATTTTCTCTGGAAGACTGGATAATCTATGCATGTCATTTTGTTCTTTAAAGGTGAGAACTCATAAGCTATTTAAACTTTGTTGGTCAGTTATGCCAATTTGTCAATATATTCAATTCAAGATATGTAAACATGCTGGGGTTGAATGTGAATATCTTACTGACACTAATTTCTCTTTCTTTGGTTCTCTGCCTTGATATCAAATTAGGTCAAGGTGTATCTTAATTTACATTTTTTCTTCTTTTGTTTTATGGGCTATAAGATGTGTGAAATTTAACATCTCTCGCTGCTCATTGCCTGCAATTGTCATATCATTTTTTAGTTGGTTGATATACTGGTCAAGTCTCTTTCTGTGTTCTGAATTCTTACCATTGCTACCCGGTAAATGAAATATAAAGTGGAAGAAACAGAACTTAGTTGATATCAATCTAGAGCAGGCATTACTTGTGGCATTTTATTGTGCCAAGTCTCGTAAAAATGAGCATATATGGATGTTAGTTATTTAGCTATATAAAAGCCCTGGAGATGGCTTCTTTGGGTTCAAAATTGCCACTCAATATCTTTGGTTATTTCTCATATCTTTCAAACGTGAGTAGAAGTGCTGTGCATTTGCTATGCACTTCGCAGGTGTAATTGTATTTTTGGTGATGTTAGATCATCATTGATTTCTGTCTGAACTTGAATACATACATCTGAGAACATCAGTCGCACTAGTTCGTTTTATTAGTTAGTTAGCAATATAAATCCTGGAGCCTATAATTGCCTTTTATCATCTTCAGCTAAATCGCATGTGATGTCGTTCAAAAACATCAGAAATGCCGAGCTTGAGGTTGGTTCTCTGGCTCCTCCGTTATTCCTGTTTAGAAGGGTCTCATAAATGTAAATGCAAAGAAAGCGATAGAGAGTGTTCTGGAGTGATTAAGTCAGAAAGAGAGTATATATTGTCATAACTTCTCGCCTTGCACACTAGTCCTTTTTATATAAAATAGGTTAGTGCGAATTTTATGGTGAGTGAATGATTGATTAATCTCAATCTTGTCATTATATATTGGATATCACGAGTCTATATTATCATTGATGTTAAAGTGATACTGCAGCTTGAATGCATAAAAGGGAGGGCAGTCTCTTTCAATCAGCGGTTCATTTTATTTTTGTTTCATTTTTCTTTTCATTTCAGGCATTGATCGAGTCGACCTCCTCTGAAAGTAGTCTCCAAGATGAGACTGGTGTAAGAATGGTGGCCTTGTTCGATCACGAGGAAGTTGGATCTGATTCAGCACAAGGAGCTGGATCTCCTGTCATGTTGGATGCTTTATCACGAATCACAAGTTCCTTTAGCTCAGATACAAAGGTACCAATTGGTTCATGTCACTTTATTGTTCTGGCTTTTCTTCTAAGCAGTGCACATGCTTCGAAGGTTTCTCATATCTTCTCAAACACGAAGCAATTTCCTCATTTTCTAGAAGAGACTGCACTGCCAAATTTGAAAGGGATTTTGCAAACTGGCCAACATTTCATAAAGTTGCTTTAAAGTCAACATGCCGTGGAAAGCCGAAATTTAAGTAAAGAAATATAATGATCCACTCACTAATTAAAGCAAATGACCCCAAATGAATCAAAATTCTTACGGCTTTTAGCGTCTTTTTTAATTTATACTATTTACTTTACTGCATATTTTGCATTAATTGCAACTGAAATTACCAGGCCAAAACCTGTCCTTTTGTTCACTTTGTTCCCCACGTTTCTTAATGAACTTAAGCAACTAAGGTTGATATTTGGTGCATTAGTCAATTAATTAGTTCGATGTCATAATTGGGTTGTCACAGATTAGAATTAAATATTCTCTTATTCTGACAATTGGGGGACATTTCTTTTGGAATGACTTGATTACCTTTAGTAAGAATTTATTTTACCAGATCC